TTGTAGAGGGCCCATAGGGTGAATTTCCTTGTTGATAGCTTTTAGATCTGTCACCACTCTCTACTTACCAGATTTCTAATTAACAACAAGTATAGGAGAATTCCAAAAGCTTGTTGATTCTTCAATATGGTGAACAGCTAATTGCTTCTGTACTAGCTATTATAAAGCCACCAGTTTCTCTTCTGTTAAAGGCCACTGTTTAACCCATGTTGGTTTCTTAGTTAAGCATTTTAAATGTAGGGCCATTGGTACCTCTAAAAGTTTGCTAGTTGTTTGTGTTCTTGTACATCCTGAATTGCTGGTGACCTTTGTGTATAGTACCTTATAATTCCATCCCAGAAATATGAGTTTCTGGAACTGCAAGAATGCTAATCTGGGTATTCCACTGCTGCAACAGGTCATGGCCCCATAAATTCACTGCCATGCTAGCACACTAGCCTTCCTTTCTGTCCATCTGGCCCTATGCATTCAACCCATCTTGTGTTTGTTTCATTTGAGATAGGTTCCAATTCCTAGAAATTGAACATCTGCCTCTTGATAAGGCCAATTTGGATGCCAAGATTCTGGAGTCACATCTATACCTGTTCTATCAAACCCACAATTACATTATAGGCATGCTTAGCTTTTGTCTTTGATCATTTATAAAAGTCTGACAGAATATACGTTTCCTATTTTCTGTTGGAATTTTTGATTCATCCTCCAGGTTTATGCCATCATCCAGGACAGTATAGCTTTTTACAGAAAGCTCTGTATTTTTTTAATTTTCCTGGTAAGACATATCCTCTACAGTGACTAGGAATGACTGGACTACTTTTGACTTGGGGGCCTGCAAAAGACCCCAAGGAGTTTTCTGATGGTATCGATTTGCCTTGTCTGTCTTTTGTTGATTTGCTTTCATTAATCCAATGTCAGACTTTGCCACACCTTCTACATAATCCAGAAGGTTAACACCTTTTATTTTTGCTATTTCTAGAGGAAACATTATTCCAAGGAATTCCTTGTCTACAATCCCTTCTCAGATGTCCTATTCTACAACAATTAAAACATTTGGCATTTTGATGTCTCCTCATACCTTTGGAAATTGTTTCTCCTACACAGTATTATAGTCAAAAGTCCCAATGTTCATTGTATGCAGAATCTATTTATCCATAGGTGCTGATCTGACCTTTAAAGGCCCAAGTGTATTTTTGCATTCTAAGTTGATATTTTCAAAAGCAAAAGATTCAATAAGTACTCTTCTAGCATCTGGGACTCTTACTCCTATTTGTACAGCCTTAGTTACTATTTGTAAAATATCACTAAAGGGATCTCTCTGGCCCTGTTTAATGCTGGTATATGATTTAATAATTCATTTTCCTAGTTCTTGAATCCTGTCCCAAGCATTTAAGGCTGATTTTTGGCATATGGACAAGATTTGTTCATCATAAAGAGCTTGAGCCCGTGGGTCAGCATAAGTGCAGTCACCAAGTATGTGATCTTGGAAAGTCTCAAGCCCTTTTACTTTTCTCTGTTGTTCTAAAAATTTTACCTCTTGTCTGAAATAACATTTCCACACCATCATCCAGGACTGCTGAAACTAACTGAACTGAGTCATGTGGGTTGGCCTTAATGCTAGAAGCCCATGTCTTTACCATCTTCCTAACAAATTCAGAATACAAGTCATAAGTTATGACAGCTTGCTTAATTTTTTTTTAGATATTCATTCATATAGGTATCCATTTACATTCTTTAGGTCCTTTTGGACCTTTAGAACTTGATGCTTTGTCAGAGTAGATTACAGGGTAGGAAGCTAAAACCCTGGGTAAGTCATCTCTGACAATTACTGGCAATGTTGAATCCTGTCCTTTAACCGTCTTTCCCTGTTATTTTTGCTCCAATAATTTTCTCAATCATTTCAGATCTTTTTACTACTGTCTTTTGTAAAGCCTGAATCTCCTGGCCTGTATATAGTTCTAGTTATTTCATTGAGGCACATAGCCTTTGGTTCTCATTCTGCACCTGTGATACCAAGGTCTGAAGTTTTTCCTTTAAAGATAAAGTCTCATACTTGGACATTATTTAGATAATGTGCAGATTACCTTCCTGGAGAGATACTCTATCTACTAACCTATAATAAATTTTTGACAGATTTTGATTGCCAAATTCAATAGTATGGATTCTTCAGATAATTTCTCAGTACGCTTTGACATGTATTGCATTTTGTCTGTCAAATTAATGCTATCCTTTTCAATGGTATTAATTTTTTCAGGTAACTTTTGATTTTCAATGGTATTAGTCCTGTCAGCTAGCTGTTCATTATTAGTCTGTAAAGACTGTATCATTTCTAAAAGTGCCTCATTCTTGTCTCTGTTATCAAACCATTTTCTTAAGGCTATAATTTGAAGGAAAAAACTGAGTCCCAATATCCAATAAATGGATATATGTAAGCCTTGCAGAATGCAAACCATAGTATCTGCAAAAAGGTTACTAAAATTTTCCATGGTAATGTTCTGCTATTGTAAAACTTTCAAGTTTATTACTTATTAATTAATGAAATATTTACCTGTGTTCTGAGGTCTAATAAATTGTTTTAGGTGTAATAATCTTTATTGCCCAGCAGGTGTTGTGGTTGCAGAGTCACGACCAGCATTGCAACCAGTGGCGCCATGAACAGTCCTAGTCACTTTGGTTTTCTGCCTGCTGCTGCTTAAATACTAACAAATGTATTTTGCTTGACAAATTAAAAGCAAGTAAAACAGTTCTGTACATGGAGCAAAGGGCCCAGAACTCAGGAGCAGGGAGCACAAACCAGACACTGTGCAAGTCGCTGCACATGGTAGTGGGGGGAGGGTGTGTGCTTTTACATTTTGTGTTGTTTTGTTCTCTTTTATCTTTGTCTGTTGTTGTTTTTTCAGTTTGTTTTGATTTTCATTTCTTGAGGTTTTTTCTTATTTTTCTGAGAGGGAGATAATCTGAAATTGAGTGGATAGGGAGGTGAGGAGGACCTAGAAGGAACTGGGCCGGGGTGGGAGGGAAGAATATGATGAAGATGTCTGATCTGAACCTCTCCAGGTCTTAAGCATCCTGTCACAGTCTCTGTGAGTTCATGTGGGTATGAGCTCTCCAGTGTCTGGAAGGTGCTGTTTCCTGGACTCATCTACCACCTCGGGGTCTTACACTCTTTGTGCCACCTCTTCCACTTAGATCCCTGAGCCTTGAAGAGAGGGGTTTGATAACGACTGCCCATTTGGAGTTGAGCTGAGTGCTACAGAGTCAGACTCTGGACATTGTCCAATTGGGGGCCTCTGTGTTAATTTCCATCTACTGCAAGAAAAACTGCTCTGAGAAGTGCCGAAGGATGCTCTGACCTACTATCTGATGGATACCAATACAAATAGTACTCTAACAATTATTATTATTATTATAATAAATGATGGTAAATCTTTTAAAAATTGCCACAGAATTAGAAAACACCCTGAGTGACTGCATTAGGAGACCTAAGGATTTGGAATATGTGTTTAAAACACTTTCTCAAAGATCTGAGGGCAGACCAGAAGGAAATCTAAGCCAGCTTTAGTGAAAAGAAAATGCAGCTAGAGTCTAGAACACCAGACAGAGGTCAAGGTAGACAACTGAGAGGTGGGGAACGAGGTACAGCAAAGTTGTCACATTGAGTCTTTGTCCACTGAATCATGAAGTGGGCATGAAAACTTCATCTTGTCCAGAATGACATAAGTTTGGGATGTAAAAACTGTACTTCACTGTCTCTGATCAACCTAGAAAGAACAAATAATTTCATTCTATCACTTTTTATTTTAGCTCTATAGGTAGTCAAAGACTGTTTTTTGTGTGCCCCAAATTCAGGGTGGGTATGTGAGATAAGTTATAGCTAACTGAATTCACTATTGTTGTTTTTACCCCCTATGTTTTGTTAGTTTTAATCCTAAAATGAATAAGTAATATATTCTCTCAGTTTACCTTTTGTGGCTAGTTTGAGAACGTAATATCATCGTTTAGTTTGACTAAGCATGACAAATGGCTTGCTGAAAGGGTACTTTTTGAAGGGTCTTGCTGCGTAGACCCGAACAGTCTTGAACTCACAGAGCTCCACCCGCCTCCACTTCCCTAGGATGAGACAGAAGGGTGTGCCACCACCACCGTGCTAGTATTTCAACATTTTAAGTTGCTATATTGAGAATCTGCCTCTTCTTCAAATTCCATAACTCCCTATCTATCCTAATAAATTTCCAAGGGATTAAAAGTGCAGGGAAAGGAAGACCCTGTTAATTTTCCTAAGCATTTGTATGCTGTCGTACCTCACCTAGCACCAACATGGTAGAAGTGGAAAATCTCATACCATGAAAACTTCCTGTGGTACCTCATTATATATAGCCAAATATCCCAACAACTGAAGTCAAAGCCACTGCTGATCTCAGGCATCTAGAGCAAGGGACATTCAGCCTGAAATACTTGTTTTATTTCTGGCTTCCCAAGAAAAAAAACATAACCAAACTCTCAAGGAATATAACTTCTTCCTTTAAAAAGAGGTGAGGGTCCAGGCAGTGGCACTCAGGAGGCAGAGGCAGGTGAATATCTGTGAGTTCAAGGCCAATCTGGTCTACAGAGTGAGTTCCAGGATAGCCAGGATTACACAGAGAAACCCTGTCTCAAAAAACATAACAGAAGCAAACAAAAAAAATTGTTTCACTTCTATTTATTGACTTTGAAGGGAGACAGTGCATCAGTGTATGCAGGGTGCAGGTGTGTATGGAGGTCAGGGAACAACTTGCTGGAATCAGTTCCCTTCCCACCACGTGGATCCCAGGGATTGACTCAGTCTTCTTAGCAGCAGATGCCTTTATCCGCTGAGTCATTTGCGGACCCCATAACCTCTTCTTAACTGGGTTAAACCTTCTGGAATAGTCTAAGCAAGATTCTGGGTTATTTGGAGGACTGGCTGGCCAACCTTACCAAGCATACCAATGATACAAGGTATCACTGGTTTCCTACTTTCTTTTCAGGATCAGAGGTTCAGCAATCTTGGAGACACAATAAGAAAAGTATTTGAGAAGAATTACAAAATATTATTTTCAATCAAGAAAACAAGAAAACAACTTCAACCATGTAAGCAAACTGTTTTGTTTACATAGTTTTTCCTATTCTCTCCACTACCCATTATTAGCATTCAGGCATTATGCTGGCATGTCCTCTGTCCTCTGGCAGTAATCAGGCAGTACTCTGAACTGCTCATGGTCCTGACAATGTCATCAGCTACACATCAGATATGTTACTACAGCTACACCCCCTTTAAAAGGAGGGGCTCTGTCGCCTGTCTTCGGTCTCTGTCTCTCTTTGTATCACTCCATGTCTGTCTCTCTGTGTCTGACTCTGCTTCTCTGTACCTTTGTCTCTGTCTCTCTGACTCTCTGTCTATCTGTGTCTGTTTCTGTGCATGCCTGTATTCTGTATTTCTTTCTCTTTCCATGAGGCTGCTCTGCACTCCATTTCTCTCTTTCTTCCCTCTCCCACAAAAAAAAAAAAAACCTCTCCACACAAGCATTGTTGGCAAGGTGTGTGCTTCTCTTTCTCACCCACTGTGTGTCCTCTTTGCTCCAACCAGTCAAGGTCTCTCTTGCACCATCTTCAAACGTTGGTTCTGAGACTCAGCAGGCCCCTCCCAGCACCCTGAGGCATGATGGGACCCTAGACCAAGTTCATCTACAACAGCCTTGCTGCTCCAATTAATGGATCACCGGACCCCTCCATCTAACACTGACATGATTGGTGACCCCACCTCTTCTCTGACCATGTACCCCATGAATCAGGATCCTTCTCTCAACTGTGGTTTCTCACATTTCTCTATCCCAGTACTGAGTAACCTTGTGTCCCTCTGGCTCAGAGTGCCCCCCGCCCCCACCCCCACTATGAACTTTTGTATGCTGATAAAATATATGTTAGATTTGTTACAACATACTGTACATCTGGTCTAAAATATAGTCTATATGATGATAAAAGTTTGAGGTTATGAAGATCTATTCAGAGTAACAAACCCTAACATGACGATTTACACATAAGTTATTATATCTTTGCCAAATATTCAACACCAAACTTTTAGAGAATTTAAATAAGTGGTAACATTAGTTTGATAAAAAGGTATTTGATAAATAAGATATATATTCTATACTGAAATGACTAATCCCTAAGAGGGTCCTTTTTCCCAGAGTTGGGTACTTGGGCAGAGGCCCCCAGGCCTGTCAAGGGCAGTACTGGCCTCTGTGCTCCCTCAGTCCCTGCTCATGGGCCACACCCCAACTCACAAGACCTCTTTTCTCCTGTTTCCTTTTGGCCCTGATGATCTCTCCCTTGTCGCTTTTCCTTGCCTTCTCAGGAGATAGTCGTAGTTTGGTACAAACTTGTTTTTACCGACAGAATGGTTATTTTGGCAACTTTTCTGAGTCCATTATCTGTGATTAAAAAGTTGAAGCTCTTTTAGTGTCAAAATAATGACATTAAAAGAGCTTCAATTCAAAATCATTATTTTTAAGGTTAACCTGACAGGAATGTGATGTATAGTCCCATATTATGGGGGTGCAGACCTATTATAGACTGTAAGGAATACAAGTTCATGGCCGTCTTATAAAAGAGCAAGTTGGTTAATTGCAGTCATTCTAAGTACTGATGAAATTAGTTACAGAGATAAAACCTACCTAGTCCCCTATATGTTTTCAGAGTTAAGCTTAAAACAAGTTAATTAGAAAGAAAGTTCATCTATTGAGATATACCTAATAGATACTCTTCAAATGCTCAGAGGTCTGAGAACATAGCATTTAAAATGTTTAATTAAAAAAGCTTTTCATAATAGAGAGATGTGTCAGCTCCTGGCAGGACCCTTATTTCAGCCAAAGAAGATAGATGGAAAGAGAAGAGCCTTCACCCAGAACTTGCTTCACAAGTGGCAGCACTAACCACTGACCAAAAACCACCTTTCACCTCAATTGCTGCTAAGACCTCTTCAGACTGTGGACAAAGCAGGACACTGGGGAATCGCGTACCTCGAGTTGCCTAGACAAACGTAGGCTCGTCTTCCCATGAGTTCCTACTCCACTGGATCTTCTGAGGCCTGGCAGTCCTACACCTTCCAGTCAAAGGCTTGCCCTGAGACCTCTGCCCTCATGATCGTGGATGACCCTATTGTGTATACAGTATTCTGCCTACATGCATGCCTGCAGGGCAGAAGAAGGCACCAGATCTCATTACAGATGGTTGTGAGCCACCACATGGTTGCTGGGAATTAATTGAACTCAGGACCTTTAGACAAGCAGGCAGTGCTCTTAACCACTGAGCCATCTCTCCAGCCCGTCTCTGTCATTTTTAATCACTAACTCAGGTAAAATGTATCCTTCTCAGAACTCTGATGCTGTTTGATGGCTAGGCTAGAGGTAGCTTTATGAATTTACTAGCAACAAGCAAGGCTCCAGCTGCCTTCTCAGTTCTCTGTACAAAATTAAAGTCACGGGCCTCATACTCCCAAAGCTAATACTAAGTCTAAGCATTTTTACCAGACTCAGAAGGGAGATAAACTCACAAAACAGATTTCGGTATAACTTCTTACCATTCCTTTGTTTAAAGGAACTAACTTTACAGTGACGGCTCTCAGTGGTCAGCCACCTGGCGAATTAGATATAAAGATAGAAATATTTAAGTGATAAAAAAGAGAAAGTGATCTGAGCTGCATAAAAGAATAAAATGTTTCCGATTTCTTTCCCTCACTATGCTACTATTGCATTCAGATCACAGTCTCAACAGTAATCAATGAAATTCTGATAAATTATTAGTTTATCTCTGGCAAAGTACTAAACACCATGCTATCACTATACGATCTTAGTTCCCTCTGGCTGTTTTCTAAATATAGACTTTAAAGGTGCTTTTCATTGTGCTAAAAACATCTGCCACAATTTTCCAGACAGAAAAAAAAGAATATTATTGCTTTCAACCACAATCATTTTTTGGTCCCCAATGACTCAATGATATGAGTTTCGACAAGGTGGATTTCAGTACAGATCATAAACAGCGGAAATGTTAATGTGTTTAAAACTTAACTTTTCACAAACTCAAAGAATTCTTGTAAGCTCCAAGGAGCTGACTTGGATTCACCTCAAACAGGTCAGATGTACCCCCTCAATAAAGTACAGTCAATGTCCCTGGTCTTGACACTCCCCATTCTCAATTACCAGGACCTAAAACTTTTTTCTTAAACTTAAATTTGTCCTCTGCTCTGCCAGCATCATGCCAGGTACAAGGGGCACCAGATGGCCCCACAGAGCATGGATAACAGTAAAACAGCCAGATATTCCTGGACATGACCAGCACCCCAGCAATCTCAGGTCCAACCAAGATACTAATGCCCCAAATCAGCAGGAAGCAGTCTCGAAAACTCGGCGGTACCCTCACTCCCCTAACTTGCCACCCCTAACTCCTCACCTTGTGATAATAAATGAAAGGCAGTAACCTTAGCATTCAGGCATTATGCTGGCCTGTCCCCCATCACCTGGCAGGATGCGCTTGCCCGTAATCAGGCAGTACTCTGAGCTGCTCAGGGTCCTGACAGCATCATCAGCTACACTGGTACAGAAACATGCTCCTTTAAAAGATGGTGCTCTGCTGCCTGCCTTCTCTCCTTCTCTCTGCTTCTCTATCTCTCCATCTGTATCTCTGCCTCTCTATCTCAGTATTTCTGTATATATATATATATATATATATATATATATATATATATATATATACCCATGAGGCTGGTCTGTGCTCCCTTTCTCTCTCTCCCCTCTTTCCTCCCCCACCCCAATTAAACTCTCCACATGAGAGCTCTCTGTATAGATGTCTCTCTCACCCACTGTGGGGCCTCTTGGCTCCAACCAATCAAGGTCTCTTGCATGCACTTTATAACACCTATTCCTCCAGCAGAACAATGCTCAGAGAGCCCACCCTCCCCTCTGCCCTTCTGTGTAAATGACCTGCCACATTTCTGCTTTGGACTTTCTATATTGTCCTTCCTGTTCAACTACCTTCCTAAATGAAACCTAACGTTTACAATGTGCATCACAATGGTGAACTGTCAGGTGCTGAGGGAGCCCACTGAGAAGGTGACTTTGAAAACAAGATTGTACCCCTCCCCCATTGTAAACCCAAGTACATTTGTCTCCAAATGTCCTCCAAAGCATCTTTTCTAAGGATGACTTTGCCCCTTGAACCCAGTGACTAGGTGGAGATCACAACAAAACAGACCGGGAGTCAACACACCGTCCTTGGGAACAGCTAGAAGATGAACCATGTCTAACATAAACTAAAATTGTTCATCTTGTAATGTAAAATGGGAACGAGAAGTCAGAAGTTCAACCCTGGGAGCTCAGTCATGGAGAGAAAACTCAAATAGGAGCTGTGGCCGACTGCTGGACTTCCACAGACAGTTTCTGCTGACTGCCGTGAGCATCCAATTTGATGATGTTGTCTCTCTGTTGTTGTTTATTCTTCAACCTGGAAGCCTCACCAATGATAACTCTGCTCTGCCCTGGACTCCACTGGGAACTCCAGACCCCACCCACACCACCTCTACGCGATGTCCCCAGTCAGTTCCTCCCGCATATTTCAAGTACATAATGAGCAATGATCTGTTGTTTTTCTCTTTACTTTTTTACTTTGGTTTGTTACATACTTAATAAACTCATTCAAAACTCAAAGTATGGCGATCATTGTAGTTTCTCAGGATTGAGCAGAACATGACGGGGTGGGTCAACAGTCTCTTGATAAGAAAAGCAAACATCTGCCTTACTCACAAACCTAACATTAAGGGGTAAGCAGGTTTCAAATGTGATTTAAAATGACTATTGGCAATAATAACTGTTTATGTCTCTGAGAATGATTAGGTAAGAAAAATATAAAAGTCTAAATAAGTTTTGAGTATCTAAGAAAATGTTCTAAACTATGAAAATTTAAATAAGTCAGGGTTTAAATAAATGATTTATGGGCCTGAGAATGTAATTTTTATAGACATATAAAGTCTATGTAAAGCCCGAGGACATTAGAGTCTCTGAAATATATAAAGTTCTGAGGATATAAAACTATAAATAAGTTCTTTGAAAATGATTTAAGATATACATAGATGATTTAAGCTATGAAAAATGCTTCAAATTTCTTTCTCTTCCTGTAATATTGTTATACAGGGTTTCAAAAGTTCAGAATTTAACATTAATAGGATTCTGATAACGTGATAGAGCAAAAACTACTAACTGTTTAAGTCACAAGCTCAAGATTTCAGATTTCTTTTGATTGTCTTCTAAATATAGGTTGAAAGATGTTTCGCATCAGGCTAAAGACATCTCTTTCCAACCTATATGTGCCTTTATGGACAGAGGGAAATGTATGTGCTCTTGAACCCAAATCTATAACTTTTGCTAGGACTCAAAACTATGAGTCTCCTGCTGTTATACAGATACCTGTTACCTGTTTTTCTGCAATAGATATTTCAGTTCAGATTGATAATACTAATGTATCTAAAACTTTTATGTCTTTTTTATAAAATGAAAAATCAGATAAACTTCAGAGAATAGAGAGTATCATAAAATTTGGGTCCATTTCTCATGGGTCAAAGGACTCCAGATCAATACAGCCTGAGTTTCCCCACCTGACTGTTCCTGAGGATGTTATTTCTTCTCTCTCCTGGTCTTGGGTCTTCTCTCCTCCCCATTTGCTTAGGACTATGGGCCTAAACGTTCCAAATACAATATTTTCCTTTAAGTTCATAAATTTTAACTTCTGTTCCTAGTCCACATTTGTCTCAACAGGCTGGCAGATACATCCAAACTTGAATTGCTGACTCCAACCTGCTCCAAATGACTATGAGCCCTGGACTTGCTAAAGACTGGTATGGACCAATCCAGCTGATGTAAATGCTGTCTCTGCAGCCGGTCAATGAACCAGATGCTTCTAAATTCCTTCCTTGCCTTTGACTAACATTCTAGCCTTCCAGGGCCCTAACAACAACATCCTAGTTTCAGCAGGAAGTAATTACAGAAGAGAATGCATTGTCCCTTGTCTCCTCCTGGAATGTTAGATCAAACGGAATTTCTTGTCTTAGGGAACCTGAGGTAAAATAATAACTGCTCCCCATTCTCATTTCCAAATTCCTTCTAGATAAGAAACTCTGTCAACCATCACAGGACTTTTGGACCCTCTGCTTCTACTGAATGCTACTGGCTCTTGCATCATTGAAGCCTTAAATAAATGATATTTCCTGTCTGGATACCGCTAAGCTGATGATGCTAAAATCCCAATATCAGCTCCTGAACCAAACCCATGACACACAAACTTGCAGATGTCAACTACTGAATAAGGGAGACTCACTTTACCATTAGTGCTGGAAATTGGTCTCTGCTTGAGGCAACCTCTTTTCCCATCTTTGTAATCTCACTCAGAATCCAATGGCAGCTGGCTTCTTGATTCAACCGATGACAACTGGTTGACAGCCTGTGTTAATACTCAGGTTTTAAATCAGACCAAGGATTTCTGCATCTTGATCCAGTCAGAATAGTCTACTTCTCTTTTACCAATTTGAAACATCACCAGAATGGGAAAAAAATGAGAAGTCATTGCAACTGTCTTGTTACCCACCATCCAAGGCATCAGCTTAGCAGGGGCAATAGGTACAAAAACTTCAGCCTTGGTACTACAAGAGTTAGAACCACACTACAGGGCCGTGAGAATGGCAATAAATGCAGATGTCATTGCCCTAGGAAATTTGTTGCACATTTGGAAGAATCAGTCTCCTTTCTAGGTGAAGCACTTCTACAAAGCAGAAGGAGCCTTGACATATTGTTCCTTCAACGCAGTGTAGGGGAGGGGGCTTGCGAGGTCTTAGAGAGCAATGTTGTTTTTATACTAACCATTCTGGTGTTAGTAAGGACTCCAAGGCCCTACTTAGAATAAGACTGCAAGACAGACAATGAGAAACACAACAAAATAAAGGATTGTTGGCCGAGGATGCTCATTCATTCCCAGCTGCCCAGAACTAAAGTAATGACACAGAAACTATATTATTTGTAATACTGTTTAGGCAATATCTTTTTTTATTGATTTTTATTGAACTCTACATTTTTCTCAGCTCTTTCCCTGCCTCTGAAGAGTCCAAGAATAAGAAAATAAAAATGTAGATTCCAAAAATAAGAATGTAGAAATAAAGAAATATAAAGTTATAAGTCTAGGAAAATGAGAACAGACTATCAGCAGCTTTCTCAGCAGATCAAAGATCATTCATTCACAGTGAGCTATTTTCTCAGATGCTTGGGAAGCTTAGGTCATTTTACAGCTGGCTGTTTTATTTACAAGGCCAGAGCTTCTCCCTACAAATTGAGAGTAGTGTCCTGGCCATCCCTGAAAAAGGACAGATGTGAACTGAGATGAGACAGAGATATGTGACCTTTGGATTAGGCACTGTCTCCATTATGGAAAACTGGCACCACCAGAGAAGAGGCATAAGACTCCAATTTACACCTGGAGGTACCAGGAGACAGTGGACAAATACAATGGTTTAATTAATGAGCTCTGATAATGGAGGTTGTAAAGTATGGCAGTCAGTATCTGAGTTTTACCTTGAGATAGTGTGAAAAGCTTTCTGCTATCTCCTAAATTCTCAGCCTACAAGCTAGTTACTCCTTCTTTATTGACCTTCTAGTATTACTAGCAGTCCCTTTCTGACTACTTGCTAAAGACATCTGTTTTCTCGCAATTAGTGACCTTCGTTGTAATCTCCTCTGAAACATATTTCATGATGGCTGCCTAGTTACCCATTGACATTAGCACTCACTCCCCTCTTTAGGGTCTCCACTGACCAACCCAAGGGTTAGGGGCAGGTTGTAAAAATTACTTTGCTCAGAGCTAATGCTTGGTGCCCCTACTATAAAAAGTGAGTTCAGAAACCTGCCTTCTGCCACAGCCTAAGGAACACCATCTCTGACTATGGTCTCAGCTAGCTGATAAGCTTCTGTGCCCCAGGTGATTTTTAATTTTTATTTTTTATTTTTAAGTTTGCTTCTGGTTTTCCTAGGATCTGGTTTCTGGAATAAAGCCTGCTTCTGGTTTATTAGACTTGGTGGTGTTCTCATCTTTGTGCAACCCCCCCTGGACCCAACATTTTGGTGGCCTGTACGGGGAAGCGCAAATCTGGTTTTGAGGGGACACTCCAGTCTCTGTTTTTTGGCAAACTTTATTATTTTGTGGTTACCAATAGGTAAGGTTCTGGTTCTGGTATCTGGTATCTGGACAGTCTGGAGGCTCAAGAAGATCTAGCAGACATACTTCTAATCTCAGAGTCGCAGGAAAATCGGGGATGCTCTTATTCTTTCTCTAGCCATTAGGTCGTGAGGTGTAGCCTTTTGGAACTGGTATGGGATCACTTGACCCTGCGCGCAGTGATGTCTTGTCAATTCTGTTTCATATCATGTTGTCTGTTGTCAGTCTTCTCGTTGTGGTTGTGTGTGAAGTAATTTCCACTATGGGAAAAGCTTCTTCCAAACCTAAGTCTCCCCTGGACCTTGCCCTTTCTCTTTTCCAGGATTTCAGGGAGGCCATTGCAGCTGTTGGCAGCCCCTGTGAAGCTGGAGCTACTCAGATCTTCTACTCCCTTGCAGAGCATTCCCCACCACCACCCCCACCACCCGCCAACTTCCTACTTCAGAGCTGAGCCCCTTTAGCACTCTTTCAGGGAAGCCACAGGTGGTCAGTGGTGGGTAGTGGTGTCTCCTGCTCTCTCTGTCTGCACTGTGGGACCTCCTGATGGGGATGGCAGCCCCTGCCTGGTTTATTTCCTCTTTCAACTAGTGATCTGTATAACTGGAAACTTCAGACTCCTTCCTTTACTGAGAAATCTCAAGTGCCAGATACTGTCCTGTTTACACATTCCCCGACCTGGGGGTTGGATTGCCAGCAATTGCTCCAGATAATGTTCACCACTGAAGAAAGAGATAGAATTCAGCAAAAATGCCCGAAGCACGTTCCAGGATGAGATGGTCAACCCACTAATGAGGCAGTCATTAAGAGATGGTCTCTGAGCCCCTGCTAGACTGCCCACCAATCTAAGACTCTTGAGAACCAAATGGCAGTCAACCTGGATTTTGTCAACTGAGCAGCCCCAGATATTAAGAGGAAGCTCCAGCAACTCAGAGGACTTGAAGGTAAAAATCTGAATAAATTGATTGCTATTGCCACTAAGGTTTATAACAACAAAGAAACACCTGAGGATGAGCAAGTTTGGGACTGGCAAAAGTCTTACTGGCAGATAAGAGCTGGGGGCCTGATGGGCAGAGGGAATACAGACTGTCCCAAATAGCCAACGGGCACTACTCCGAGTTTAAGAAAGGATTATTGTGCTTATTGCAAAGAAAGGGGCCATTGGAAAATGGAATGCCCACAAAGGAAGAGGGGCCAAAAAGCCCTGGGATTAGTGAATCCAGATGATAAAAAGGACAGGGTTGGAAGCTTCTGCTCGAACATTGAGTAACCCTAAAAGTTGAGGGGCAACCTGTTGATTTCCTAGTGGACACTGGTGCTCACCATTCAGTGTTAAAAACTCCACTGGGGCCTCTGTCAGACAAACAAACGTGAGTTCAAGGGGATACAAGGACAGCTCTGCAACCATGGACCACAAAACAGACTGTGAGATTGGGAAGAAAAA